ATCTATTTCTGTTTCAGGATTTATTTCAGTTTTGTCTGGATTAGGAATTAGGATCTTCTCTTTGATTCTACTTCACCTTTTCCATGATGCAATGCCCTTAAAAGAAGCTGGGATCCACGAATAAACTGAAAAGAATTGAAAGATGATTTTTTTCTTTTGGATATGTTATAGTATCTTTTACTGCTTTCCCTCTTTCATCCTTTCGGATCTCAACGGTAGGTCTATTGCTCTTCAATCCTTCCTCTATACACAACTGCCCTTCTTAATTTCTCTTATATCCCTGTAGTGCTCCGCTGCATAAACTGATTACCAGGCCAATGGTCACTCTTTTGTTATCTTTACCATGTTCACTATGTCAAGAGCAAAATTTGAGATTTGTTATTTTTACCATCTTCACTATGTCAAAAGCAAAATTTTACCTTATTCACTGTCTAAAGCAAAATTTGAGATTTGTTATTTTACCATCTTCACTATATCTAAAGCAAAATTTGACAAGCTTGTTGACTTTATTGTATGATCACAGTAAGAGCGATAAATATGAGGCTTAGTGGATAATCAAACCCCACAAAAGACGAAGTACCAAGCATGCCCCTGAGTTGATGTGCCACTGTTAAAGTTAAGTATACTCACAATACGACAAGCTTCAACCTCACTATCATTGTGAAAGTTGACATCACCATATCAGCATCTCCCACTATTGGTTGAAGATTGCTCCTAGTAGTACAAGTCAGATGATCGAATAGTGGTTCATAAGCATTTCTTAATTTGAAGATGTTAATTCTCCTCAATGATTATTTCCAAGTAGAGCTCCTAATACAAAGTTCTCCTTGTCTTTACAAACAGATTAAGAGATTTCCCTTTGCTATTGTTGTTAGATTTTTATAACTAGAGTTTATTGGTTTACCTGCCATCAGCATGTATATGCCTATATTGTCGAGTTGCAATATCCTAGAGTGAGGTATGGATGAAGGTAAAAGAGCTAGTGGTGGAAGTTGATCAAATATTAGCAAATAGTTTGTTAGTTGTTCGTTTAGTTATTTGATTATATTAGATTTAATAATTTACTTAATTGTAAATAAATAATTTCAGGTGTTAAGTTCATAACTGAATCAAATTTAACTAGCAGCATATTTGATTCATTTGATTGTTAACTTTTCTTTTCTATTGCGTACTCCATGAATTTTGGGTATTGTGAGAAAATTTTGTCCATGTATGAATAATTATGCTCATATATCAATATTTGATACTCAACCTTTTGTTTCTAAGTTTACTATTAAAAGTAATTGCCATTGTAGCACTGGGAATGGTTTTCTCATTTTTGTTCCTCTATGTAATTTCTCCACAGTGTGCCTACGTATTCTAGTGCACAAATTTGATGAGCTGCTTGGTTTTTACCGAACAATTATATTTTATGAGAACGTAATTTGTTTCTATTTGGTAGGCTTATATTATGCACAACATGCTTTTGTTGCTCCACTATTGAATTCTCTATATTGTATTTGTATATTCCAATGTACATGTGTGATAAATTGCTTGGTTTATTAATGAGCATTTCTGAATAACTATCAAATAATACAAACACAAATGTGTTAAACATATATTTGCAAATAATTATCGAACATCAAAATAAATAAATGAATCAAATTTGAAATGAAGAGACGAAACCCGGATTTGGAAGATTCACAAATGAATGGATCACTGCAATTAAATCTGGATTATATTAAGAAGCAAATCAAGACTTTAATTGGAATCTTACTTAGCTACATTATACGTATTGAACATGCACAAAATGTGGAAGATACTGATATACCATAACTGATTGTAACTATTCTTCCATAATTAGACTATAATTTATCTAGGATTCTGCTCTTTGATCAATAAAATTAAGAAAATATAGAGGAATTTCCCCTCCTTCTTTAAGCTTCTCTCTCTTCTTCATATTATTTCCACAATTTAATATTGGTACCAAAGCAAGTTTTCAAAGCTAAAAGTCTATTTACATCTAACTCTGGGTACAACGTATTCTCAACAACTAATCCCACAGTTTTGGTGGCCTATTCTCGATAACTAATCTACCGTGAACATTTCTTCAATTGCATCATTTTCAAGAGTTTTGCTATCACATGGTCTCCTAAGACTCTCTACCTAGTATTCTTCCTTCATTGACGTTGATGGTCGCCTCAAATTATCAATCTCAGTGACATTCACACCTCAATGTGAGTCTTCTCCGGTTCGTTGTGATAAGATTCTGCTCTTGTCTTCTGGTTTCTTGTTGTGCTGCCTCTCGACATTGATTTTATTTCGAAAAGTTATCTACCGTCTTATTCGGTTGCTCTAATTTCCCGTCCATAGTTACACGATATGTGGTACGTAGAGGGCCGTGGTACGACATTAGATATGCAATTTGCCACTTAGAAACTTTGGAGTTAAGCGAGGAAGCTTGCTTCAGTATTTGGTCAATGGTAACTTTTTTGGGTGCACTTACAATTTTCCAATGTGTATAGTATTAGAAACTAGAAAAGCTAAATATGCATTTTAATATTTTTAAATGGTAACTTTTTTGGGTGCACTTACAATTTTCCAATGGTTTTATTGAGCCGGATGACATCTTGGTATCTACGGATCATCTAGTTTCTTACTATTTTCTATTTTAAATAAATTATGAGATATAGTTGTTTTAGCAATAAGGACAGAAGCCAACAAAGTTGTGAAAAGGGAAAATATGGACTTGTTACTTAACCATTGTTCACATGAACAGTATGTGACAGCAGCCATTAGATTTACTTTCTTTTTTAGGAATATACTTATTTGGTTTATACAAGGCTAAAGTGTTGTTTAGGATGGCATAATGCAACACTTTAAGAGCTGAAACCGATGAATGATTGGATGAAGATTACAGTCTTCATATCATTCCCTCTTCCTGTCATCTAACTTTCTTTTTCTCTACTTCCTCTTCTTACATCCATTAAAGTAGGTTTATTGCTCTAGAATCCCTTGACTCTATAAAAACTAGGGTAAAGTTCAGAAAAATCCCCTATAAATTTAGGAGTTTATGACAAGACCCGGAAAATTGTGGAACTGTCACTTTAACCCCCAATAAGTTTTTCCAAGAAACAGGAGGTTGCATACCGTATCCAACTTTAGAAGTATCCCGAATTCCGAATTTCTTTCCTCTCTTGTACCCTGCCAACAATAAGAGGTTGTGCCCTAGATATCCTCTTGTACCCTGCCAACAATAAGAGGTTGTGCCCTAGATATCCTTAGGACGGAAAAGCATGTCCATATCAAACAAGACCTATCTGTGTCACAGGATGCAAGAACAATTTAATCTCTCCAATGTCATTCGGAACTCTAGATATAGACTTGGTGACTGAGTGAACCTTATGATCCAACAAAGCAACGGTTTCAGCTTGCTGATAGTAATAATTCTCGCTTTTGCATTCATGATGTATCAACTTACAGCATACTCCACTTTCTCTCCCTCATACGTACGCTCTTTCAACTTTCATCTTTAACAGAACAGATAGATCTTGATGTATTTGTTTGACAAAGAATGGATCAGTGACCTTTTATATGGCTAGTAGCTTTACAATAAAAAAGTATGTCATGATAAATTGTTACAGACATTGATTACGTGCTCATGGCAATGAGATATAATTTCTCATATAGAAATATGTATGGGATGCCTGTGTGGTCCAATTTATAGTTACAGATTTGTTTTGATAAACATGCTGCATATAGGAAATTCTATAGTCATTAAAATTTCTGAAAGCTATTTGCTGCATGCATTTCATGCCGCTTCTACAGGCATATCATGTATGCATCTGAAGTTAAGCAGGTCATATGATCAATCCTGCTGGAGTACGATTACCTGTGAAGAAATGAATATTTTCTGGTCATGTACTAGAAACAATGTTGCATGGGCACATCTAACTGAAGCTGTACCCGTGTCGTACCCGTAACCCAACACCGAAACTTCAGTGGACACTTCTAGGATATTTCCATAAACTTATTTAAATATGTAGTAAATTATATAGGAGTGGCTGTTTTAATTTAAAACAATCGTCAAATACTTCTTGGATGTATATGCTACACTTGACACGCAATTCTTGAAACTCGTTTGAGAAAATTTGGGTTCGTTTCAGCCCGTACCTAGTTCAAAACCATGATTATAGGTCTTTTGGATATCAAGTTAAAAGGACAAGAAATTTTCTAATCTATAAATCTATAAAAGAAACATACAAATGCTATAGGAATTTTATTTCATAGGACAATTGAAGTAATAATATCCAGCTCGTATGAATTATTATTTTATATACATATAACGTGTAGTCATGTTCTTGTATGCCAACTTTTACAAATTTTCAGTGTCCCTTACTTGTACCCATGTAGCTTAGACTAGAAATATGATTCTCCCACCCATGTGTTTAATTGTCACCTACATTTAGTTTGACCAAATGTATCTGTACAATGCCTGACCGTCCATTGCACAAATCTAGCATGCAAGTGCCACATAAAAATATAAATGGACTACTTTACTTGATTATCGCATTTTCTGCAGTCTTAAGATATTGCAACACGATTAAACAATTATCAGGATTTAGCTAATCACACATTGTTACACGCACTTTTTCAGTTCAGTGGGGCTTGGATCTGGTCCTTTATGGACTGAGGAGTTATTAGAGAATAAAAAAATGAAAATGTATTCTGGTACTAGTAACAGTAGTAAAGATCAGCATGTATACCATTTATTCCATCTTTGGTTAGACTTTAATTGGCTATTTTTATATTATCCATGATCTTAGTTTTTTTAAAGAATGATCTAAGAGTTTATTGATATGAAACAAATTTATTTTTAAATTATATGCCACAGGTGAAAAGTTATACAGATTGTAAAATATGTCTTCAGTTTTCTTAGACAAGGGAATTGCATTAGTTCCTTGCATAGACAAAGGCTGGGGGTGGGGCCGTGGGGGTTTATACTAGAGATTTGAGATCATGGTTTTCCTTTCAGAAGGAAGCATCAAGCACTTTATTTCCTACTTGATGGCATAATATTTGAGTAGGTCCATTTTTCTTAACATTCTCAACAATGTTCATGTGGTCTGAGAGGCAACTCAGAGCATTAGGTTACTGCATTTATACTTTCAGAATTATTAATGTTCTTCATGCTTGTTGAAACCAATAATAGCTCACTTTTCTTCTTCTCCTTCCTTCAAAACTGTGACTTCATATTGTGAAAGGTCTATTACTTCACTTAAGTTCTTAATCATAGTAGAAGAAAGAGAGCCAACAAACATAAACTTTCCATAAAAGGTTTTACACTATTAAATTTGTTTCCATACCCTCATATTCCAGTTGATATTTGCAAAAGACATACTATAATCAAGTTGCCTTCTTGTAACTGAATTATTGCTACTTGTTACTCGCACTACTATAATCAACTAATCAAGTGGCTTTCTTGTAACTGAATTCACTGTTCTTTACAAAATATTGCGTGCTCCTTCGATCCTCAAAATTTATTCCCCTTTTTCCTTTGTTTGGAGAAAGACATATAATACTGCATCATGGAAACTCTCGTGAAGCGAAAAAATACCTCAAAGTGAAGGAAAGAAGCTCGTAAAGGGGAAAAAACTCTTGTTATGCAAAGGGATCAGAATGAGCCTCCACAATGTTAGTAGTATGTCATGGACTTGAGTTGTATGATGAATGCATCAGCAGCACTCCTGTATTTTAATCCTAAACCCCGATGGGAGGTTTAAACCCATGACCCCCCACTTAGGAAGAAATGGTAATACTGCATGAGCTAAGCTTAATTAATAACATAAATCTTGTGCTACAAGGAATATATGCCCCTGTGTCTGAAGTGGTTAAATATCTATGTGCATGTAGTTGCATTCCTACTGTGTACACTAGGCTCGCAAAGTATTTGTGAATTGTAAGACTGACTAAGGAGGTTATTGGAGATAAAACATACACATTTATTTATTTGTTTGTACTATTTTATATTGCCCCCTGAGTAATAGAATTATTTCTTCTTATTCTGCTTTGTTAGCTGGTTTAAGAGCATACGTGAAGGAAACTTGTAAGACCAATATAACATCGACAATTTATAACTGAATTTCTTAATGAAGATATTCGCCTAGAAGGAGATGCTGCAAGTTAATAACTGAACGGAACAAAAATAGATTATTAGATTGTGGGGAAAGTTAAGTGACCTTTTGAAGAACGCAACTGCAGACACTGTTGTTGAAGTGTTTAGCTGAAGGGACCCATCCCAGAGCTTCTCTACTATCAATGGTGACGTTTTCTCAGAAACTGACTGATTAAGTTCTTCCAAATTTATCAGCTGCCTATCATTAGGCTCTACTAATCTGTTTGCAAGACCATCAATACTTATAAGCAAGCTTTCCTCCCCAGATTGGTGACATGTATTTTTAGAAGTTGACTTTGCATCCTGCTGGTAAAGATTTTCTTCAAAACCAACATGATCCGGCCATCTCTCCTTAGAAGAAGATTCAGCATGCACTGGCAATAGAGATTTCGGTGGATCCATCTTTTCCTTATGATCCATCTTTTCCTTATGATTCAAGTCAGAACGCAAGTCGTCATGGTTATAAGAACTTTCAGATCTTATCAAAGTATCATAGTTTTGATAACTCTCATAAGCTACCCTCCCTTCACTGAGCGCAGGTGCTCGTACAGGCTGTGTTTCGCCGACTGAAATAGCAAACGGCCCACTTTTACAGAACTTGTGCCCATCTCCCATATCAGAATGAAAATTCTCATTAACCACCATCAAACTAGACGAACAAGTTGTCATATTATTCAAAGGTGTTCTCAATGGATACAGATATGGATTGGATAGAATCCTATTATGTTCATCACTATCTAACCTAGAAGCAACCTGAGACATTTCTGTTAGACCGCTACAGTGCCTATAATATGATGGGAATTTGCTCGGTTCATATTGGATAGTATTACCAGAAACAAGCTGTTTAGAATCTTCATTTTTACAAATTTCATGAAGAGTGTGGACTGGAAAGGATTGCAAGCCACTTAATGAATCTTTTTTGCTATTCTCCTCTTTTGTTTCTGATGTCGAACTGCCAGTATTATAAAACTGGAAGGCCCTATATTGAGATTCAGGATTGCTGGGATTAGACTGTTCTGAATTGTGATTAAATAGCATTTGGAAATTCAGTGGTGGAGTTAAAGCTACATTATGCTGTGATGCATACTCTCTCTGCAGTGGATGCCCCACTCTACCTCCAATATTTCCCAAGAATCTTGCAGAGAAATCATCATGACCTACATCCGTATCCGTCGATTTTCTTTTCTTTGTTACCTCAGCAAAAAATTGTCCATTTGAACTAGAAGGTGGGGATCTCATGTTCTTTACAAAAGGGGTCTGATGACTGACAGAATCAAAATTCAAATTCTGGTTGTTGCACATCCAGTTGTTTTCTCTCTTGTCCCACATTTTTCATAATACTTAGACAGTTGAAGATCCTCAATTAGAAATGAGAACCTTAATGACATATCTGTAGTGAAAACAATAGACCAATCAGGAAGCAATGAAGTCAACTAGTAGTTGCCAATCATTACAAATCACAATGTTTAACGCAAGAAACCTGCGACACTTCGGCTGATGCAATGAAGCAGCAGACAACTCTGAGAAAGTAAACCTTCACATGTGACCAAAAACTTCAGTAGCTAGCATCTGAATTGGACAAAAATTACACAAGGACATCAGCAACATCCCCAGAGTGAAAGAGCTTAAATAGAAAGAGAACAATATTAGGTCGGACTCACTGACATACAAAACACGATCTTAAGTCAAGATTGACAAGCCAACAATGGTAACGGAGCATCTCAGGACCTGCAGCATTGTCAAAGATATGTCCATGAGTGGCAACGGCAAATAATGGAAGAGTATCTCGTGATCAAGTTTATGGAAAGTGGAAAGCAGAGCGAAGTAACAAGGTGCCGCTTAGGTTTTGGGGGCTTAAGCAGGATTTAGCGGAATAAAGTGCCATATCAAATTTTTAACTTTTAAAATATTTAATAGGGACAAAAGTTCCAAAATAAGGGGGGAAACCCAAAAATTAAAAAAACAAGAAAAGTGAAGGGTAAAAAAATCTACAAATGCATATATGATGTTTATATAGATTCTAAGCATGAAATGGAATGCGTAACGATACTTAGATGAAATCGAGCAATAGTATTAAATAATATATAATATTATAATGTGATAACTAACATGGTGTTTGATATTCACATAGAATACTCAACAAGTTTAATGACTTAATGTAAACTATTAAAGGGAGGAAAACATACCTATTAAATACAATCATCACTATATTGCTCCGGGATTCTTCCAAACTTCAAGTAGAATCCCTTTAGGAAAAAGGGGGAAATCATGTAAACATGGGAAAAAATCACGTAAAGCAGTCCAACCACTTAACACCAGTGTTTGGGCAGCTTTTAGGCTGTTTTTGGTTGCTTTAAGCCGCCTTTAGGCCCTTCTGAGTTGGAAGCGCTTTTGAACAGCTTTTCGGCCTTAACGGAGTGGCAAGGTGCCTCTTCCAATTTTTTAGCACCTCATTCCGCATTTAACATTGCTCATGACAATTGAGGTGCTTTACCTTACTAAATGAATTTAAAGGAAAAAACGAACAGAAAGAATTAATAGCAGATTCCCTAAACTTATGTGAAGTTGTGAACCGTTACCTTAGAAGGGTTTCCCAGCTTCATACTTGAGAGTGTGAGGGTGCGCGAGAGGGAACAACAAACTAAGTGGCAAACATTTATATAAGCTTTCAGTAGAATATTTCGTAAATTTTAAGAGGTCAACAACCCCTAGTAGCCTCACCCTACAGCAACATGTAAAATATCATTTTAAATTACAGCGGTGCACTTTATATATTATAATTAAATGGATTGCTTGACCTTCCAAAAAGATTAAAGCTCTTTTGAACTACTTGACCTTGGTCTAAGTTATAGAGCACAAACCAAGCCGCAAATCTTGATGCAACCTGAGGCCATAACTTATTCATTACTACCATGGTCTTGTGCTTCCCGGAGTAGTGATCTTGCATGTGCAGTGTCCCTCACATATTTCACAGTTGTTTTCTCTCATGCATTTTCTCAGCTCACAGATGGAAATACAACATGCACTTACATGGTCTCTTATAGGAAAACATGGCTGCTATTATGGCATCAACTCATTTATTGATAGCCCAATTACTTAGTGAGGACTGTCCATGAAGAATCCCTACGCAGACGAAAGCCCAGACCGTGCTTAAGGAAGGAGCGAGTAGAGGGCGGTAAAAAGTTGTTAATTTCTCTTCCACAAATTCCTGGAATGCAACATACTAGTAGTGTTTCCATTATGAGATGAGTAGATGTTATTGTAGAACAACCAGGGTCTGACATGTCAGATCAGCTATTTTGTATTGTCTTGCAATAGGAGCGTTAGAAGAGAGTATTAGTTTAGCATTGGTTTAGTCCCACATTGCGTATGAGACTAACTTGTAACTAATCCATCTCTATAAATAATAAAGTATAGAATGAGGGAAATGTTCTACAAGAAACACTTCTCTAAATCTTAACATGGTATCAGAGTCTCTCCCTAACCCTAATCCTAATACCAATCCAAATTCCTAAACCTAACCCTAACCCTAATTCCTACCGCTGCTGCTTTGTCCGCCGTAGGGATCTGTAGCCCTCGGATTTGATCGAAGACTGGTGGACGAAGAGATCCTCGTCGCCGTCGTCAGGGGTAATGAATCTGAACCCCTTGGTGCTGTTGAACCACTTCACTGTCCCCTTGGATTGCGCTTCCGCCATTGAAATCCTAACCCTAAGAGAGAAACAGAGAATGAATCCCCAAAATCCAATTCTCTCTCCCCTCTCTTTTCAGATCTGCGAGTTGTACTAAAATAAATAAATAATAAATAAATAAATAAATTATTATTTTATATTTATGTACATATATTTATTTATTTAACCTTCAGGTTAAATAATAAACCTTCGGGTTCCATGTTAACCTTCGGGTTCTTAAACTTGTTCAGCCTACTGGCTAATTCAATAATTATTATCTTGAATTTGGACATGCTATGATTATTTCCATTTTGGAGTACAACTTGTGGAGGATATTGTCTTGAACTCTACTCGTTTGTTTCATGATGGCCGGATCTGAGGAACTCAAGAATTCTGAGTTAACGGTCCAGGCGAAAGTTTCGGAGATATTTTCAGGTAAAATCACTGACCGAAAGCTTTATAGAATTAACTATTTCAAATGGAAGCATGTTATTAAAATCTACGTGGCAGGCCAAGGCAAAACTGGTCATTTGTAGACAGACCCTCTAGACGGACTCTCCTACTCCGACACCGGAATCTTGGACATTGGATGATAGTGTCCTCTTACATCAAATTCTTAATACTATAGAGCCTAAAATTCAGGATTTAGTTCTTCATTGTACGACAGTGAAGGAACTTCGGTGCTTTTTGCAAGATCTCTATGGGGTAGCAGCAATATTAATCGGGCATATGAAGTAATTCAAGAGTTGTTTCGTAAGAAACAGGATGGTAAACCCATGGATGATCATCATGGTGAGTTTAATCGTCTGACTGAGGAACTTCATCAGATTTTTCCTATTACTAGGGATGTAAAACAAATACAAAACCAATGGAACAAACTTATGGTACTCACCTACTTGGGTACCATCAATTCCATTTACTCCTCTGCTCGACCACAAATCATGAGGAGTTCCACCATTAGCTCTCTGCCTGAGACTTATCACTTTCTCTGACTAAGACTTATCACTTTCTGAAGAATGTTGTCCCTGCATAGCCACTTACATCCACTACGGATCGCTCTGCGCTTGCCACTCAGAGTTGGCAGTCTTATGGATGAGGAGGTCATACTAGTGGTCTTGAAAGAGGTAGAGGAAACTTTGAAAGAATGAGAGGTTACCACACTGGTCGTTCTGAGGACCGAGGTGGTCAACGAGGTGACCGTGGAGGTCCATCTCAAGGCGGACATGCTCATGACGATGACTAAGCGAAGACTTGTAACTACTGCCACCAGCCAGGACATCTCAAATATAACTATCCTGAATTGAAAAAGAAGAAAGCCAAGGGTGCTTACATGACCACTCAGGATAACTTCACCTCATCTAATAGTAAAAGTCAACCACAGTCACTCTACCATGATGCGGAGCTGCAACATCAATTTAGCAATTTCAATTATTCCAGCAAAACCAAAGTTCACAAACATCTTCCTCCTTATCCGCTACTCTCAAAAGTACAGGTACTACTTTATCTTTACTTACATCATCTTCGTCTAATACTTGGATTATAGATACAGGTGTCACTGATCATATGACTGAGAATCAATGTATTTTGTCATCTTTCTCCAACTACATCTAATTCAGTTATATTAGCTGATGGTTCACGTACACCTGTTCAGGGTGTCGGCAACACTAATCCTACTCCTAGTCTTCCTCTTTCCACCATATTTTATCTTCCTAGTTTTCCCTATAACTTTTTATCTGTTAGTAAGATTACTAAATCTCTAAACTGTACAGTAACATTCTTCCCCACACGTTGTCTTTAAAGACCTGATCACGAGAAAAACGATTAGGACGGGACATGAACAGAACAGCCATTATAAACTGGAATTGGGTGCCAAATATTTGGCTTGTATCGAAAACTATCAGCCTTATAATACCACTGTCAGCTAGGACATCCCTCTCTCTGTTCTCAAGCTTCTTAATCCCCTGTTAAAATATCTTTCCTCATTAAAGTGTGAGCTGTGTCAACTTGATAAACACCATCGTGTGTTTTATCCTAATCGAATCAATAACTAAGCTACTTAATTTTGTTCATTCTGATGTCAGGGGATCATGCCTAATAACTTCTAAATTGGGGCTCCGATACTTTGTCAGTTTTATGGATTATCACTCTCGTATTACCTGAATTTATCTTCTCAAGTCTAGGTCTGAAGTCATTTCCACATTTAAACTCTTTTATTCTGAAAATCAATTAATTCAAGTCTTCGATAAAAAATTTCCAATCTGATAATGCAAAAGAATATTTAGATAGCAACTTCATTAGTTTTCTTGAACATGGGATCCTCCATTAGTATTCTTGTATTTACACCCCTCAACAAAATGGAATTGTTAGACAAAAGAATAAACATCTCCTTGATATTGCTCGGACCTTGCTATTTCATCGCCACGTTCCCAAAAAATTTTAGGAGAAAGCTATCTTAACAGCATGTTACTTGATTAATCGAATGTCATCTTCTATTCTGCAAGATAAAATTATTTTTAAAGTTCTATACCCCAACGATGATCTCTTTCCGCTACCTCTAAAGATTTTTGGCTCTGTGCTTTGTTCATAATCACAGTCCAAATAAATAAAAGTTTAACTCTCGTTCTATTAAAAGTATTTTTCTTGGCTATTCCCGAAAACATAAAGGTTACAAGTGTTTCTGTCTGTCACTCAATCGTCTTATGTTATCTGTTGATGTAACATTCTTTAAAGATAAACCCAGTTATTCTAGTTCTTCATCTCCATTATCACCGGATGAGTATGACTATTTAATCTTGAAAGAGTCATTGGTTAACGGTGATGGTCCATCTGCTGACAACACTATTTGCGCTACTAGCAAAGACTCGGTTCGATTTAACAACCCAATTCAAGTTTATCATCGTCGTTCTACTCCAGCTCCTATGCCAACGTCAACCTCAGCACCACGGCCTCCGCCTGAATAACCTGAATCAGTAAGTGCACATTTACCCCTTTATGCGGAAGACCTTCCTATTGCACTTTGAAAAGGGACACGAACTTGTACTCAACATCCTATTTCTAACTGTCTCCTATGATCGTCTCTCCTCTACCTTTCGATCTTTTATTACTTCCCTCGACTCATATTTGGTTCCAAGCATGTGTTAGAAGCCCTGTCTTATTTCAAGTTGGAATCAAGCGATGCAGGACGAAATGAGGGTTTTACGACAGAATGAGACTTGGGATTTGGTCTCACTTCCATCAGAAAAGCAGGTGTTGGCTACAAGTAGGCGTACACTATCAAGTTAAATCCTGATGGAACTTTAGCACGCCTGAAAGCCCGACTGATTACTAAAGGTTATTCACAGGTGTATGGCTTGAATTATGTAGATACCTTCTCTCCGATGGTAAAAATGACATATGTTCGGATTTTTGTTTCGTTAGCAGCAACAAATCATTGGTCACTTCATCAGTTGGACATCAAGAATGCATTCCTTAATGGTATTCTAGATGAGGAAGTTCACATAAAGCAACCACCAGGTTTTATCGCTCAGGGGGAGAATGCGAAGGTGTGTAGGCTGAAGAAATCACTATATGGTCTA